TCAGTCCGCAGGCCAACGCTCCATCCACTAAGCCAAACCGGTTAGGGCATCCCAGCAACTTTTGTGTCATTTGAAAGGAGTTCTTTCGACCGTAGACCGCCAATCACCCCTTCGAGGTGGTGGCAGTGGGGGCAGGAAAAAGAGGTCCCTGCTATGTATTCTGGAATGAAAACTACGATTTCCCAAGCTTGCAGTCCTTACCCATGCTTGTCTGTCTCCTGTGAGACTTGTTTTCTTCCCCACCCCAGGGTTGTCTGTAAGCTGTTGACTTCTGGGATTTGCAGATTTCATAATGTGGTACTACTTCTTTTTTGTCTGAAGATTATTTCTCCAGAGGAAAAGGGCAGTAATTTCCTCAAATTCATACAAATGTGAAGAAAAGCACTACTATTGGTTGTTGTTTTTTATAGTGCAAAATAAAGATAGTAAGAGAAAAATATGTCTTATATAAATTAACCATTTCACTGTCCACATACATAACTGACAAAGAGGCTAAATTTATACATTTGCATAAGTGTGACTAATTCAGAAAACATTTTTGTAATTTTTCACTCTGATATAATTTCAAACTTGGAGAAAAGTTGCTAGAATAACAAAAACTCTCATAATTTAATCAGATTCACAAGTAACAAGCTGCCTCGTTTGCTTTCTGTATTCTCTCTCAGAGTCATTTACATTTACAGGGCATTGCTTTTCTTTCTGAACCACTTGGGAATAAATTGCAGACATCATATTCCCTTTATTCCTAAATTCTCCAATGTCTAACTAAGGACATTCTCTTACATGACTGAGAAAAGAAAGGATGCTTCAGCTTAATAACCAAAGGAGAACAATGAGCTGCCCTAACATTTCTTACTAAGGCACAAACCAGGGGGATGGTCATATCTTTTATAGTTTCTCTTTTTTTAACCTTTTAAATTGAATTTATGGGGGTGACATTGGTTAATAAAATTATATAGGTTTCAGGTGTACAATTCTATAATACATCATCTGTATATTCTGTTGTGTGTTCACCACTCCAATCTTTTACAGTTTCAACTCAAAAGACCAATAAGTATGGAAATCAGTGCCCTATTCTTGGTACATCCTGATAAAAATTCACCTGAGAGGAGAAAAAAACAACTTAAATATGTATTTGAAATAAAAAGTATTTTGGGATTTGTTTTTCTAACAAAATGACCTTTGTGGCTGGATTTTGCTTTTCACACTCCTCAATTAATATTGATATTTAATTCCATTCAATCTACTGTGCTAAAAACTGTGACCTGGAAATAAACTAGTTTCAATGCAGTTTAATTACTTTCAGACCCTATCCCCGGACTCCCTGACACCAGAGGGCACCTTACCTTTCCTATGCTGTACATTCCTTCCATTTGCTGTAAAACTGTTAATCATTAAAATGTATGCACCCTAGCTGAAACTTCTGACGCACCAGATGTACTTTTTGCTTACTCCTCTGCCTAGATAAGCACCCCCACTTTTCCAAAGTTAGGGCACTGTTTACAATTTCTTGAAGTTATTCTCTTGGGCTATAGTCCTTAGGAAGGCCTAAATAAAAATCTTTCTAATACTTTCAGAGATTCAGGTTCTTTTCATTGACATAACCATTGTACAATTATCATGATGAGGAAATTTGATGTTGAGACATTACTATGTCCAAAATTTAAATTTGGTCAGTTGTCCCTACATGGTCCTTTACAACAATGGACCCACTCCAGGATGGTGTGTTGCGCTTATTTGTCATGTATCTTTGGTATCCTGCAATCTGGAATGGTGTTTGTCTTCTTTGTCTTTCATGACCTTAACAATTTGAAAACTATAGATCTTACTTACGTGGTATTTTGAGCAAGAATACCACAGAAGGTGCCTTTTGGGCAAGAATACCACAGAAGCGATGTGTCCCCCTCAAGGCATCATATCAAGAGGCACATAATGTCTCTGCCATATTCTGGGTAGCTGTTTGGTTAAGATGGTGTGTCATAAAGTTTAAAGGGTCTTTCATCCCATTTTGCTTGTACTCTTAAAGTTTACTGTCTTCAGCCAAGGGGAAGAAAAATCAATGAGTTGTTACATTTTTATATTAAATCCTCACCTGAGATGTATTTTTATTGATTTTGAGAGAGAGGAAGGGAGAGAGAGAGACATTTTTATATTAAATCCTCACCTGAGATGTATTTTATTGAGAGAGAGAGAGAGAGAGAGAGAGAGAGAGATCTGTTGCCTCCCACACACGCCCTGACCTGACACCACTCCAATCAACTGGGCCACTTGGCCAGAGGAGTTGTTGTGTTTTAAAAGGTTCATGTGACAATATCTACAAGAATGTCAGGCATCTGAGTCATGTTTGTGCAATTATAAATAACCGTAAGTGGCAGAATGAAGATTTTCCTTTTCCTCCAGAGACTAAGTTTCCTCCATAACCTTAAAGTAGATTGAGTCTTGAGTTCATCTATCTGGCTGCAACAACAGGTCTGCTCCAACAACGTTACCATGTAGTTTCCCACATTGTTTACCTTCTGTTTCTCTGCGTCTCTCTTAATCACTTCCACGCTGATGTTTTGTATGTGGTAACACAGGGACTACTTATTTTGGAAAATCACAATCATGGGGACAGAACTGAAAAAAATTCCCAAGTCTCTATTCATCAGAGAATCCACAAAGAATCAATACAGAGATAAAGCACAAGAAAAGCATGGATAGTGTTGATAAATGGGTAGGACTTGGAATAGGGGTCCCAGAACACAAAGTAAACAAGAAGTCAGGGGTCATCTTTCCCACAGTGCCAATAGGGGTTTGGGGGAGATATTGACCTGACCCAATTCAGCAGGGGGTGCTATGCTTTCTTGTGCAAATGCAGCATAGCACTTAGGTATACCGGGCTTCAACTCAAAAAAATGTACCTAGCCTCGGCAGGGTAGCTCAATTGCTTAAAGTGCCATCCCCATACACCAAGGTTAAGGTTTGATCTTCAGGTTGGGCACATACAAGAATCAACCAATGAATGTGTAAATAGGTGGAACAACAAGTCTATCTCTCTCTCTCTCTCTCTCCTTCTCTCTGAAATCAATCAAAAAATAAAAAGATGTACTAAAACACATGCAAATCACTTTGTAGAGATCACTTTGCTTTTGTAGCATTTTAAGGTAAGTATTATCTTACAACAAATTTACTATATGCCAGGCATTAGTCCACTTATTTTTAAGTATATTAACACATTTGCCATCTCAATCTATCTCTCTCTCTCTCTCTCCTTCTCTCTGAAATCAATCAAAAAATAAAAAGATGTACTAAAACACATGCAAATCACTTTGTAGAGATCACTTTGCTTTTGTAGCATTTTAAGGTAAGTATTATCTTACAACAAATTTACTATATGCCAGGCATTAGTCCACTTATTTTTAAGTATATTAACACATTTGCCATCTCAATAATAGTGTAAAATGGTTACTATTATTCCCATTTTGTAGATGAATAATCTGAGTCCCAGAGAATACAGTGACTTGTCCAAGTTCACATGGTTAGTAAGTACAGAATTTCTGTAAAGGGCCAGGAAGTGAATATTTTAGCCTTGAGCCATGCGGTCTCTGTCGCAACTACCCAGCCCTACATTTGTGGAGCAATAGCCATTAAAGACAATACATAAATGAATGAGTATGTTTACATTCTAACAAAATTTCATTTATGGGCACTGAAATGTGAATTTCATATCATTTGCATGTGTCATGAAATATTTATCCTTTTGATTTTTTCAACCATTTAAAAAACTAAAAAAGCATTCTTTTTTTAAAAAGGATATGCATTTTTTAAATCATTATTATTATTATTATTTAATTCTCATCCAACCGCATTCTTAGAGAGAGGAAGGGAGAGAGACAGAGAGAAATATCAATTGGTTGCCTTCTGCAGGTGAACCCGCAAGCCAATTATGTGCCCTGACCAGGAATTAAACCAGTTGGGCAACCTTTCAATGCACAGGACTATAGTCAAACAACTGAGCAACTTCAGCCAGGCTAAAAAGCATTCTTAACTCCCAGGTTGTATAGAAATGTCAGCAGACTGGGTTTAACTCTTGAGCTGTAGCTTCTTGCAGTTAGCCAAATTATCCTGAGCACGTTGTTAACTTCCTACACCTCCATTTTGCCTTGCTTTGAAAATAATCATTAAGCAATAAAATAATAATAATAATAATAAATAAAAAAATTTTAAAAAATTTTAAAAAAATTTTTAAAAAAGAAAATAATCAAGACCACCATATATAAAGGGCTGAGCATCTTCCCAGCACAGCGCAATGGTCACTGGGTTGCAGCCAGCCCTTATGTTCCCTGCCACCCCCACCACTCCTAGTCCCCGACCCTGCCCACAGGAAACAGACTATTTCACTCATGGATGTAAAGAGAGTGTCCTCTTCTGTTTTGTGCAGGACGTGAGTTTTCTCCCTGGAGTGAAAATGGGCTGGTAGTCAATCATGGGGAAATAGGAAGGATTAATGAGGTGGGTGGGACCTGAGTCGAAAGCCTCCACCCCACCCACCTTTCCTGCCCCGCCCCAATGAGGAGGTTACTCTTGAAATGTTCAAACTGAAGCAGTGCCCGGGTTTCTGCAACAGCAGGTGGCATTCTGGCATCAGCAGAGGCTGTGTTCCTTTGCCCAGGTACTGAGGACCTCCAACCAGACATCTGAAAGGACCTGAGAGAGCAGCCAATTCCATGAGCAGCATGGAGCTGAGGACTGTGACCGCCTCTGAAGCCGACAGCTACAGAAACGCTGCCTTCCAGGTGAGCAGAACTTTCATCTGTTTTTAAGACCAAGTAAGTTTAAATAATCCTCTTTCCTTGCATCTTTGGCAAGTTGCTTAACTAAAGCAATGGAGTTATTGGGACCCAGTAAGATTTTTAATGGCACTTTTTTAACCTATTCTTTTTCCTTCTTGGGTGGACAAACCTGAAAAGTCTCTTTTAACCGGAACCTGTTTTGATCGATGACTTGCCTTATCACTTGGAAACAAGACTCTTCTCCTGCTTTTGTCCAACTAGCTCCAGGCAGGGACACAGTATGTACCTACAGGCTGGGTGACAGAGAAAGAACAGAGGAAATTCAGATCCTGAATGTAGTTCACACCTCAGGGTTTCTTTCTCTTAAACCAGGTCCCAGAGTCTCTGAGAGATGGTGACCTGGTGCCCACACCAGTGCAGCCGGGTTAAACAAACCAGTCTCATGTCATCAACCAAAACTCGCTGAGTGATTAATGCTGCTCGGCCCAGGGCTGGGTGCCACAGAGCTGCAGGAGTCCCGTCATTGGGAAACACCAGGCTGCTCCAACTGGGGCTGGCCTGGGGATTTTTCAGGGCTGTTCCTAAATGTGCTTCCTTTCCTGAGCCGATATTCAACATGGAAGCCTGCAATTCCTTGGACTTCAGAGCCACTAAACAGGCAAAACAAACTTTTAGGCACTAGCAAAAGAGGAACAAGGAAGGTAAAAGGGCTGTGACATAAATCCTGACTCTTTCACTCACAAGTTATTAAAATTTCCAGGAGCCTCAGTCCAGTTGCCTGCACAGAGGTCACAGTGATGCTCATCCCATAATAAGTGTAGGGGGAGGAAAAAAGATATTTTCTCTACCCTCTTAGATTCAGTGCCTGGGGTCTGTGAATTAAACTGATAAATGATAGATTTACAGGAAAAGAGTTATACAAATTTTATTAATATTTTTAATTTTACCTGCACTGGGCTTTATAGAAAAGAAATAAAAAACTCAAGAAAGCAGTAAGACTCAGGGGCTTATATACCTTTTTAAAAATATATATATGTTTTTATTGATTTTTTTTAGAGAGAGAGGAAGAGAGAGATAGCAACATCTATAGAGAAACAGGGCATCATATACCTTTTTAACAAAGAATGGGTAAATGTGAAGAAGTGTCTAAACAAAGGAAAGAGAGGTTGGACTTTTAGGGCGGGAAACTGGGAAGTAAATAGGGGGAACTAATGGAAGATAAGGTTTGTTTATGCAATCTTACCTCAAAGCCATCTCTGATTCCAGTGATAAGGGTTGTTTACCTCTTTCCAGTTTGGGAGAGGGTGACACATGTACCAAGGAAATGTATGCCCTGTTTTAGGGCAGTTAGGGAAAAGAAAGTGCTCTTTCTATGTCTGCTTTTTGTCAATTGCCTTTAGCTCAAAAAACTCTTTTTTTAAAATTAAATCTTTATTGTTCAGATTATTACAGTTGTTCCTCTTTTTTTCCCCCATAACTCCCCTCCAC